ACACACACATATTCACAACTGTAATTGCTCCGACATTGACTGTAGAGACAGTGGAGTTGGGCGAGCTGTGGGAGACCGGCTTCCTGCAGGTTTCAGCCAAACCGCATTCAATTAGCGGCCCAAGAGGCATCACTCGGCTGACCCTATTGAACTGCTGAACGTACGCTGGGCTGAGAGAGGATAATGAGGGTGTGAAGAGGAGTGAGAGAAAGGTGCCCTGCTGGCCCTGCGCAGGAGACGGCAGAGAGGAGCCTTATTTCATAGTGCAGCTACCTAAACCCTCCTTAGGCCTCACCTGCAGGGCAGACGTGGGAGGCAGCTTAAACATGAGCGTGTGAGCTGTGTCAGCCACGTAGCACGTTAGCGGTCGAGAACAGAGAGAGAATCTGGTGTTCAGTCAGCGGCAGGCCAGGATCTGACGATAAACAGGCCTCTGCATACTTCATAGACAAGTGACTTACTCCCAGTTGTCTTTTCTCATTCTCCTCTCAACAGGTGTGGACCTTCGGAGACGTGAGCCTGTCCTCTGGTTCCTCCGGACGTTACTCAGTGCAGACGGTCGCCGGTGACCACGGAGTGCTGTCCACCCTGGTGCTGTCTGAGACTTTGGCGCAGGATTTCCAGCTGCGCTACAACTGCACCGCCTGGAACCGCTTCGGCACCGACTCTGCCCTGGTCACACTGAAGGAGCAAGGTACAGAAAAAAAGAGTAATAACCCCCACTAGAGCCCTCAGAATTTACAGTGATCCTCTCAATCCTTGCTGCGAAGGGGGCCAGATTAGGCGACAGCAGCACTCCCGTCTCGTGCTTATCTTAATTATACTCCTCCAAATCGATATGATTTAATCAGCAGATGGTTCCTTTAATGAATATGTTTGCCCCATAACGTAGATATTGATTGGGGGCAATAGTCAATTAGAGGAAGCCACATGCATTTGCGGTTGGGCTCGTATTCTCTATCACTGTCTCAGAGCCAAGTTAAGCATCTAAGGCTGCAGCCCTCTTTTAAGTGATCTTAAAATAAGCTGGTAGTACTACTACACTGTGCTAGTGGAAGCCTTTGTTGCAGCAGACACCAAAAATAAGGTCCTCGCCAGCAATTTACATCAACGTAGCCGAGTGGGGTCCCTGGAGAAATGGACGGCGGTATCTCCTGGAATCTCTAATTAGATTACTGTCTGTTGCTTCATTGCATGTCAGGCCTTGTTACCCTTCTTTCAGAGAGATTATAGACAATAGCCCGGCTGAGGGATGCCAGATTGCCCGCATGAGTATATGCGAGTATATATGAGATGAATTGATATAGGCGCTGACGTTCCCGGGATTAGCAGGACAAATGAAGGGATCTCTTTATTTCTTTTGTTCTGATCTGTACGTTCTTGACACTGACACTTATGTTCTACTATCTCTCCTGTCATCCCTCCTCTTCTCCTGACAACTATCTACTCCCCCCCCCCCCCTACACCACTCTTTTCCTCTATTCCTGTTCTTGTTACAGAAGCCCTGCCGATGTTGATAATTGTGGGGGGAGCAGTAGGTGGAGGCTGTGTCCTGCTCATCTGTGTCATTACTCTGGTCTCCCTCTGCTGCAGGCACACAGGCAAAGGTGAGCTCAATGGTTAGTATGGGCGAGAGGGTCAACAGCCAATTCTTCAAATCTAACACAATCAAGTCTTTGTCATTTGTGAGCTGAAAATGTAACAGTTTGTTACATTTCTGTGCCGTTTCACCCTGTAATAAATGTGTTTTAAATTGTAATGGAGAAGTCTGCTCGTTTACTAAAGCTCCTCTTCTTTTTAATCCTTGCAGGTAAAAGGTGCACTCGTCTATCCAAGAGTGACATCAGAGTTCAGATTGTTCATAGTGATCACAACGCTACACGTGGCAATGATGATGAAGAGGATGTCAAAGAGCCAATGGTACATTTCTTTGAGCACCGTCTTTGTATTCCACATAAATATCTCTATTGATGGAAAATTCACAGCAACGCCGTACTGCTCCGACTTTGTTTTGTTCTTATTCAAGTGAGGTCATGCTCATCTAAATAATTCTTCAAAAAACTCTCGGTCTTTCCCTCAGGCACCAAACAGCAGCGAGTCTCCTGGGACGTCACGCACAGAACACAGCGACCTCCTGGAAGAGGAGGAGGATGAGAGATCGGACATCAAGGTACAACTGAAAAAACAGTCTTAAAGAAACACTCTCAAAACAGCGAGAATGCGTTCTTTTCATCATTAATTCATAAAACCGAACCATGCAGAGTTCATGATTTATCTTCATTCTCATAGGACCCCACCAATGGCTACTACAATGTCCATGGTAACGAGGACCGCCACATCCGCAGCAGTGGGTTCTCTGAATATGTGCCCAACACTCGGCCAGTCTACACTCCATCGCAGCTGCCCTCCCCCAGCCCCATATACGGTCAGCATGGCACCCAGCCTCGTGTCTATGACTTCTCCCACCGGTACGCCACCACCACAGCGGGCAGGACGGCGTATGAACAGCAGCAGGCTGCCCAGCAACAGCCCACCCAGCCAGCTAGCATTTACCCCACTGACCCCGCCTACAGTGGCTCTGCTTACCTACCACCCGCCACCTATGGCCGCGCCTTCACCAGCTACGTTAAGCCAGCTTCCTATGAGAAGGTGGATGCGTACGACCAATCAGATCAGGCCAGCAAGGTGTCCAGCTCGTCTCGCTTCTCTTATGCCTCTTCGCAAGTATCCTCCCAGCAGTCTGACTATGGCCGGCCTTCACAACGTATGCAGACGCATGTCTGATTGGACAAAATATTTTGAAAAAGAATAGTACAGGAGCAGTGAGTCGATAACCATTGTCACCTCCACATTCAAGTGTGGCTGGACTAACATGAACAGAGACTTACTTAACTCGGACGTTCCTTCAAGGACATGTTTGGACAGTATATGGAGGGAGCCATATGATTTATGTTGGTTATTGGATAACCAACCTTTATTTGTTGTGTTGGATGATGGGATCTACAAAAATGCTGACTGTAGAGCTCCTGAGCTGGAGATTTCAGCAGATTGTGATGTTCAAGTCAAAGTTATGATTACAGTGTGATACCTCACCAGGTAATGCCTACATAATGACCACCCAAACCTGTGGAGATATTCTGTCAGTGCAAGACAGGCCAACTAGAAAATAAATTAAATGCATCTCCTGAATTTGGGTGGCCAAAATGACTGGGGTAGCTGTTTACCTGCCTTTCAGAGTCTACTGAACTATGAAATGTGACCTCTTAAATACTGAAAGAAGACATTAGAAGCTAAGACATGACGAGGTTCAAAAAAGCCGATATGAAAGACCTACTGTTGTCTGTCATTTGGTGTTTTGTTGGCATGCGAAAGAAATTCTAAGCACATTTGTGTCGATCATTCACAAAAGGCTGAGCTATCCACAGAGAAAGACAAACTATTCTGCACAACAGGCTAGCTCTACTGACCAACAAGCGCTACGGGCACTGTAGAAGTTTAATCAGTGGTGGAATACTTCTGGCTTGAGCTGTATTCCTGAATCTTCTTCTGATTTGAACCCTAACATGTTGGATAGCAGTGTTGCTTACCGGTGGAGAAGGAGAAAAGAAGAGAATGTGTATTTTAGCCATCATTGTAATGGAGGGCTATTTGTTAACTGTGTTGTACCAAGATGGACAATATAAGGCCATGAAAACCCAAAGATGGTGATAATTGTATGGGGGAAAACTGGGGCTGAAACCTGCTGTCCATTCCCTGGTACTGTTTCTGATTGTTAAAATGAAGACGAGGCTGATACCCGAACAATCAAAAGTGGTGGTTTGGAAAATGGGGGCAATCTTGAACTTGAAATAAACTTGAATGCAGCGTCATCTTCAGCAGACTTTCAGTTGGGGAAAGACATGTAAGGTTGTCCTAATGTGGACCATACACTCGTTTTACATCTCAATCAAATTGTCTCAATGTTTACAAGAAACAGTACTACCCTGAAACACTTAATGATCTGTACAAATGGCTGAGCCCATACTTTCTCTCTGTTGCATGCAAATGATGTGTCTAGTGAAAATCTTCAGCGTTTATATTCATGTCCATTTCATGTTTGAGACATTGGTTTCTGCACCTGGCCCAGTTGCATTCCACTTCCTGGATGTTTCAGTATGGACGCCTGTACTGCCATTTGTCTAAAAAGCTGTTACCAGGCAGCCTGATGAGAGAACAAATGTCACAAGTAAGGAGGCAAACATCATCGCTTGTCTTTATTTTTATATTTTATATAAGCCTTAATGTACAGCGTGTAAGCTGCTCTATTGTAAAGTATCTTTATATACATATGTATCTATCTTGGTTGATTTATTATGTTCCACAGAATTTCTTCTCTAAGTTGTTCATCAATCATTGAATGCAGTTACTATGCTTTTTTTTTTGGAACAACTAATTGCCATTTGTTTGTTCATTCTTTTAATAATGTATTAAGACTTTATTTGGTAATATCGTTGCTTGTACCTTTGTACACATATTTATATTTAAATAAAACCATTTCCGATAAACAACTGGCTGGTGTGAATCCTGAGAGTTAATCAGCCGAGGAGCTTCAGTGGGCATGGGGAACCGCGACAAAACAAAGCTTCCCATGTAGCAACAATGATGAATACATAAATTAGCAGCACTGTCTATGTTGATTTTCCCATTCCCCCAGCGGTGCGCTGCTTTTAATGAAGACAGATGAGATGGTGTGTGTATGTGTATCCCCCTCCCGAAGTCGACAGGCCCATCTCGAAGGGTAATAGGATAGAGCTCTGACAAAGGCAGGTATTATTCCACAATATGAGTTCAGCTTGTCACCTCTGTTCCCCAGGTAGGCGCGCTGCTCACGGCGGGGAGGAGAGGTACATGCTCATTACAATTCTTCTGTGAGGAGAGACAAGCTCTCACAAGACACGCATTTATTATGCACAACATAATACAAAGTGAGACCTAGTCGAAGACAAATGATACAGGTGATGCAATTAGGTGATGAGGAATCCGATCAAATATGTTTATTGCTAAGACTCATTAGTATAAAAACATTTGCAAGCACAGACAAACAAAGAAAGGTTATACAATGTCCATATTCCAAAGACACTGTACAAGAAAATATCTTAAAGTTGTGGCTTCTCCCTGCTTTCACACAATACACATTTACAATTATGAAAAATAGATCCATTGAGTGATACCTTCAACATGTTTTTCTTCTTAATTTTTACCCCTTAAATAAATAACAACAACAACTACAAAAAAAAACGTACAGTTGGTACAATTCGGTATACCAAACATGACTTTTATACTGTAGGCTTTTTGGCTTGAATATGTTTGTATGTTATGAAAATGCCCCTGCATGGATTTGAGCAACATGATGACTGAAGAGTCTTTATTTTGTTTTTATCATAAAAAATATATGGAAATGCAGAAAGCGCTAAAAGTTAATGTTTACAGTTTACTGATAACAACTGAGACTAATGGCTAAATACAAATAGTTTAATCAATATAAAAACCTATGCAATGCTTTGGAAAATACTTGTAGATAACTTGTTTGTTGCAAACAGGCCGAACCCCATTTACGGTCTGATAGGATATTCGATTAATAAAAACCTCAATGTCTAGTTATTTACAGCATTAACCGACTGGCACAGTTCCAAACTGACTGCAGCCCAAAAGAGCCATATTTCCTTTTTTTTTTTTCTTTTTAAACTGTATAACCTTTTTAGTTTCTCCATCCATCTTAAAGTTGCATTTGACAAATATTAGGAACAAAATTCCTAGAATATGCATATTTCCTCATTTTCTCTTAGGATAGATTCACCAGTGAAATATGACTATTTTGATGTGTGTCAAAAGACACTTTGCAGAGTTTCGTCTACATAAAATAAGTTGCTTTCATTCATGAGAGTAGTTGGGTCGGTGCAGCAGTATCCTCAGCTGTCTGCTGCTACATGAATAGATCTTGGAGAGACTTGTCCTGAATACGACTCAAAGTTCCGTCTCCATTATTTTTAGCACTTTGATGTTGTTCCCCGTTCTGTGTCCCTTTTCTGATCCTACCGACCTCATCAAATCCCTGTCTCCTTCTTGATCCAGTCTACCAGCTTGGTGACGCGCGTGTAGACACCAGGCTTGTTCCGACGAGCGCAGCCCTCGCCCCAGCTCACGATGCCGGCCTGGAACCATTTCCCACTCTCCTCGAAACACACCAGGGGGCCCCCGGAGTCTCCCTGGTGACAGGAGAGCAATTATTAGATCGGCTTTGGATGTGAGAGCATGATGATTATATGGGTGTGAAAACCTTTCTACATCAGCCTTTTGTCCTTCTATTCTATTCTGGAGAACATGTTGATTGGTCTCACCTGGCATGCGTCAACTCCTCCGGACAAGAATCCACTGCAGAGCATTCTGGAGGTGAGTTGGCCCTCGGTGACAATGTTACACACCGTGTCGTTGATGATTTTCACACTCGCCTTCTGCAGTAGCTGAGCCTTTGAACCTGAAAGAGCAGGACAAAGGGGTCACATGGCCTCTGTGTTCGTCACTAACATCAAAAGGTGTTAATGGTCTGGATTAGTGTTAGCTAATGAAGGTTTAAGAGGCTTCCCAGGAGAGCCAACGTCTGTCTTGATATATGGATATGGACGGAAGGCTTAATGGAATAGAGCAGATGAGATAAAAAGATGAGAGGGGAAACTAGAGGGAGGGTTGAGTGGAAGAGAAATATGTCATGATGGGAAGGATAAAGAAATGGGAGGGACATTAAAGGAAAGGCAGAATAAAGGATGAAATGATAACGAGATAAAGGGAAGAAGGAGGAAGTAGGCAGGGGAGGAAGATGAAGGACAGAGATGAATAACTCATTTTGAGAAAGATGGGGGAGGAGTGGGATGTCTTAATTTTAGTTGGATATGCAGAAAGGGAAAACACAACTGTAGAGTGGGTCACTCCGAATTGAGAGAGAACACAGCATAAATATATAATAACCAGTAACAGTGAGAAACAACAAATGACGAGTGATGAGTTCTATCTGTAAAGGAATATTTTCATCTGATGCGTAGCTGTACTGAGAAACTTCACATGAGTGACCACTCTTTCTCTGTGTGGGGGGGAAGGGTTTACTGCCCACTCAGACAGAGTTTCTTTGTCTGTTCATCTGTAATCGATTAGGGGAAAAGGCGGGCTGTTGGGACCCCTCCTTTAAAGGATATATAGAGATGTTTCTGTCTTGTGTGGGTAGAGTTAATTTTGGCAGCTTGCATTGAACAGTGCGAGTTGCTTTGTTAATCCTCCGGCCGTTTGTCTCTCAATAAATATCAGTGTATTGACAGGCGAATCCAGTTTCACTCATTTCATGATTGGCTCAACATTGCTGCAAAGAAGTTTTATCTTCACACTATCCAAAATGTTCAATTCATGCATTATACCTCCTTCTCGCATCGCGCCCCAGCCTGTGACCCAGCAGGACGTGCCTGCAGGGAAGATGTGGGAGGGAGCAGGTAGGCAGATGGGCTGGATGGTGTTGGTGAACTCCAGCGGCTCGCTGAGCTCCAGCAGTGCAATGTCATAGTCAAAGGTCATCTGGTTGTAATCTGGGTGGGTGATGATCTTCTTCACCGGCCGGCGCTGCACTCCATCCTGCTTGTACTGATCCTGCATGCCATTGTAGGTCTGCCAGTTGGAGGCAACATGATTCCTTTGGAAGCATTGCAGGGCAAAGGTTACTTATTGTAAGTCGCTTTGGATAAAGGCGTCAGCTAAATGCAATGTAATGGTTACATGGGAGCCAGGATGGATGTATGCAACATCATAAACGTATGTGCAATCTAGTAACAATCTACATATGCCTTGCAACTTATGCTACTAGTACTGTAAACTCAATGGAAAGCAATTCAGCAACCTCTCTAACAGAATATCATAAGCCACAAAGGTAGTGCTTGATTATTGGATTGCATTTCATTTTATTGATATACTCTAGGTGCTAAATCTGTTCATAAATATGCAAAACGACTTACTACTTATGATGATATATAACTAAATATCTTTGTTGTGGCTTCCATATAAAGTAATCTAGAAAAAGCTTGAAAATTAAATATCATTTTGTTTATCAAATATCATCAACAACTGAAAATGAACACAATCCCTTCTCAACAACAATAGAGGTTGCTCAGGTCTAACAGCAGGGTTTGTGCTCCACCTACAGGGCACTCTTGTGAATACAGCTCCATGCTTTCATAGTTGAGATGTAAATTCTGCCCCCCTCCCCAAGGTTTTTCTAAATTATCTCCATCAGTGGCTAATTTTCCGATTTAACAATTTTGATAAAATACTCCTCTGTTGAGCAGAGTTCTGTTTGTCTGAGAAATTGCATAATGGAATTTAATAAAAGGTTGAAAAATGTGATGATAAACAAAACATGAGGGAACTAATAATGTTTTTTAAACCAAAAAAAGAGTGGATGTGAAAGAGTGGATGTGTTACTATACTATCTACTTGGCACAGTCTATGGGTGTTTGAGCTGTCACTCACTCTGGGCTGGTGGTTGAAAAGCAGTGAGCGGCGGAGAGGATCCACTTCTCTGATATGATTGAGGCCCCACACACATGCCCATAGGTCTGGAAGTGAAGGCTGACCTGCCAGGGCCATTCCCCCACGGCAGCGTTCTGCCCTCCCACGATGCGGTTCAGCTTATACGGCCTGGTGCCACACGCTGACATTTAACACAGGATATAATGAGAGAGGAGGAGCATTGGAGGGTAAGAGCAAAATATTTGGAGAGAATGGCATGCATAATCGAAAAAAATAGATTACTGGAAGCAATCATGATGCTGGCCTTAACTGTTATATGACTCTCTGGAATCCTAATAAAGCACACTGGCATATTAGTTGATGAAAAAACAGACACACCCTGAGGCCTAAATAGAGGAAAAAGCAAAAAACTTCAGAGCTGACAAGAGCTGCTTTCAAAGACGAATGAAATAAATAAAGTAGTCAAGGCCTGGGGCTCTTTTCAGACAGCCCAATGCGCAGCTCAACCCAGCTCTGCTATAATCTAGTTTGAATGACACTGAAGAGATTAGATCCACTTTCAGCTGTTTTAAAATATGTAAAAAAAAAAGCTTAATTTTGGAAGGGGAAAGAGATTAAAACATTTCTTACAGCAGCTGTCCTCGTCGGAGTCATCAGAGCAGTCTTTGACGCGGTCGCATTCGGCATTCACCTTGTTGACACAGTCGCTGTTCCCGCACTTAAAGCTGAACTCAGAGCAGACGCCTGGAGCTACAATGGAGTGGAGACAGGTCCCAAAATCAAAACACATAGCGTATTTCAATCAAAGCGTTAGATGATTGCTAAGTTTAACCAGTAAAATACTATGCAATCAGTGGGGCTTTAAAGTGACTTGAATGCACAATGTGGAGTGATTGAGGAGCAGATAGCATTGATTGGGGGTATTGATTGGGGTTGAGGTCTAATATACCTCTTTGTTCACAGAAGTAAAAATCAAAAGGAAATACAAGAAAGTCCTGTGCGTGTGTGTGTGTGTGTGTGTGTGTGTGCTTGACTAAGTGAGTGCAAGGAAAATTGATAAAGAGGGAAGTAGAAAGGGGAGGAAATGTTAGAAAGAGCTGGGAGAATGTGAACAGTGACAGGAAATATGCTTTGAATTATGAATAAAGTTGGCAGTGCAATGTTTTTGTAAAACTTAAAACTTTACAGATGAGGTTAATTGTTTGTTTAACATACTTGTTAAATATATTAACTGGCAGGGAAAAATAATAAGTGCTGCCACTTACAGGTTTCACAAGAGGCCTCGTCACTTCCATCTTCACAGTCTTTCTTTTTGTCGCACACAACGTCCTGAGGCAAACACTGCCCGTCACCACAGCGCCACTCGTTCGGCTGACAACCTGGAGCCAATGAAAGACAGTGATGAGAACATTGGGCAGTGCTTCAAACAAACTCCATTACGGAATAAAATGATGACTGAGACAGTGACCAGAGCATTAGCTGTGATGTGCCTTTAATGTTAGCACAATTAGCATTTTATAGGCTTTGCAATACTTACTGCAACTCTTTTCATCGCTCCCATCTCCGCAGTCATTGACTCGATCGCACACCCAGAGTTTCGGTTTGCACAGGCCATTGGAACAACCAAACTGATCAGTGTCACACTCTGAAGTAAGAGAAAATAGTGTGTATTAAACAATGCAACTGAGGAAGATTATACAAGTGAAAAGGGATCGTTCACCAACCCAAATCACTCATATATTGGACACCAGTACCTGCTTCTGAGGGCTTGGTTTACAGCAAGTTACTTCATGGAGCCTAGTAACATTAATATGAAGGTAAGACCGTAACAAATCACCCAATAAACGTATTCATACTCTTCCGATTTTGTTACCTTTAGACAGTGCCAGGTGAGTCATTTCCCTGTGTTTCGGTCTTAAGCTAACTAGCTTCTTGCCTGGCCATGGCCTCATATTTAAGGGGCATTTATGGGCTTGGTATTGATGTTCTCACGTGATAAATCTCTCTCAAGAAGGCAAGTAGGTGTTCATATGAGAAGAGGATATGAAATAAGGAAAGGAGTAACGACAGAAAAAGTGCTGTTGGGTCGAGCGGGAACTTACCGCACTTCATCTCGTCGCTCATATCACCACAGTCATTCCAGCCATCACACTTCAGTTCTTTTGCGATGCAGATGCCGGAGGCGCAGGCAAACTTGCCGGGGCAAGCTGTTCCCAAACAACAGAGAAAATATTGAAGGAGCAAAGACAAGGAGAAACAAATATGATGACAAATTGAAGAATAAAGGAGTGACACAGTATGTTCACAACATCCATCACATTGCCAATCCTTGTCCCTGTTGATCAGAGCCGTTATAAGTGGAGTGCTCCTGACTGACAGTGGAAAATAAAATGGACCCAATAAACAACCTATCTGGTGATTAGTCTAGCTCTTGTTGCAGTTCCTAAGCCTTTATCACTAAACGGCTCCATTTGACTGTCAAACAGCTGCCATCTCATCGTCTCTCAGACTACACAGCTAATCCCCTAACCCTGTCTGACTCTGTAATGTCAGGCTATGAGTGTCCCTGTCACATCCCAACATTTCAGCCTTCCCGCCAAATGCCATATAAAAATGGGTGAGAGACGGGACTCTTTACTCACGGTCTGCGGGATCGTAAGCGCTGTACTCGGCACTGAAGCCTTTGTCAGCGAAGGACTCGTCGGAGTGAAACATCACCTCTAGGACGTTGTTTTTGCTGGTCAGAGCCAAAGAGGACAATTCGCCACAATACCTGGGACACAAGACATATATGTTTAAAGGAAAACACTGTTTTAATTGTTGTAGTTATTCTGATGATTACTTGCTGATCGATATTAGAGAATAATTGCAACCAAAACGGTAATATAAATGTCTCCCTATTTAAACACTGCTGGACTCGAATGACAAGTTCTGCGCGTGCCACCATAGGACACATTTTTCAGAAACATGCATGTATTTGCGAAATAGTGAGCATGCGTTAAGACTGCATACAAAAATGAATACTAGATGTTTTAGATATACCGTGACCAAAACGGGTAAAAAAAAAAAGGAGCATTGAGACATTTCCTAAACAAAACACTCGTAAAGTATCTGAATAATTACAATATTCTGGTGAGGAAGACCAACTAAAATACAAGTAAGTTCATAGAAAAACTGTACTGTAGTAGGTCGAAGTTGAACCAACAGTTAATCTGTCAACTGTGACGGTTGCAGGGAATCATTAAAGGTGTCATTTAAATAAGTGAATGTCTTACTTGGTGCCCAACACCTCCACATAGTCTTTGTGACATACACGGATATCCACCCCAGGCTCTTTCATGCGGAACATGGTGAACCTCAGACGCACATATTTCCCAGCAGGGACCTACAGCAGAGGAAGAGGTGATTGGTTCATAAAGACCTTATTTAACATGCATGTCACTCCTCCTCCTACACACCAAGACATGCTTCTGCCTCCCATGTAAATGCAAGTAGACAAGTTCGCAACACACGCAAACAGGCCATGGGCGCACGCATGTGCATGTACATGTACACACACACACACACACACACACACACACACACACACACACACACACACACCAGCAAACAAAACCAACACATAAAGCACTGCAGCTCAGTGAGAGCTGCGGCAGCAACAGCGGGCTGACAGATGAAGATAGAGGAGGTACTGAACAGCTTGGCTTCCACAGTGCTGCCTCAGCATTCTTCTCATACGGTGGTGGAGGAGGAAGAGGAGGAGGAGGAGGAGGAGGAGGAGGAGGAGGAGGAGGAGGAGGAGAGGAGGAGGCGGAGGAGGAGGAGGAGGAGGAGGAGGAGAGGAGGAGGAGGAGGAGGAGGAGGAGGAGGAGGGAGGGGTTTCAGGCAGAGGAGGGGGTAAGGGAGACAAGCAGTGTTTCAAACCTTGATGGTCCACTTGCAGTCCACTGCAGGGGGATAGAAGCTGGGGTGAAGTGGGGAGGTGAAGACTCCTTTGTTTTCAGGGAGTTGGCCGCCACACACTTTAACTGAAAAGAGCAAGTGATAAATTCACATTCAGTAAAAAACTATTTCCTTTTTAAATGGATTTAAAAGAAACAATTACCCACCATTATCACTAATCGTATATAAATTACTCCCTATTTAAACACTGCTGGACTCGCATGACAAGTACCGCGCGTGCCAGCATAGGACACATTTTCAAGGTTTTAGCAAAAATGTAGTATTTGGGAAATAGTGAGCATGCGTTAAAACTGCATAAAAAATGAATACTGGATGTTTTGATATACCGTGAAGGCATGCCAGGAAACCAACGTTTCCATCAAGAATTCACGCAAGATGATGATTATTGATACACAATGGTCATTTTCTTGGTTAGGTATTCAAACACAAGCAAATCAAGGTAAATGGATAAAGTACAGAATCTATCAGTAAAATAATGGCCATTAATCGCTGAACTACCTTTTTCCCTGGGGATGGCTTTGTACTTAGCCAGGAAGCCAGGCCTCTGGACCACGCTGTCAGTAATCAGATTAATCAGCATGATGTTGCCGGATGACACCACCTCAAGGGGGTTGGAGGGGGGCCTCTGACCGCACTTCCTGTGAGAGAATGATAGGTAGTCAAAAGTAACAGAATCAGAAGCAACTAATTGTTGTAAACACTACCATAAAGCAGGAGCTAAAAGTCTGAGTCTCTCTCCCTTAGGAAGCGCAACACTTAGAAGAATTACAACTGTATTTGAGTTCCCTAAGTCAGAAGCACTAAAACATCAATACAGGTTTAAACATTTTCAAGAGAAAAATCATTTGAAAAGGAAAATTAATAGATTAGCAGAGAGGGGTAGTAAAAGATATACATGAGATGAGATGTGCCAGCACTAGATAGAAAATGCTTAGGTGGAGTTTCAAAGTCAAACATTAGGTGAATTAGCAGAAAGTTTCAGCACTGCTGGAGGCAGAGCAATGGAGGTGTGAATGACACCGCAAGATCAGCAATACATCTACCTCTAGTAGAATAATGTCATTATAGAGTATTATATTATCGCTCTCATAAACCTCATGTCACCTTGGATAAAACTGATCGCTCAATAGATTTATAAAATATTATGCATCGCCTGGTAAAGCATATTTGTTTGGCAATGATTTCTGAGTTAGAAATTGCCTGTATGCCAACTGATGTTGCATACAGGAGCCTGTAGTTTCAGAATCACAGCCTTCCCCCATAGACAAAGTGCAATTACACACAGTGGTGTAGCAGGATTCAGGTTGGCAACCTTCACAGATTTGAAAGCAGAGGTCTTTTTGAGCCAACTCAATCTCACCGAGGTCTCAAAAGTTAACAATAAAAAGAGACATGCAGTGCTAAAGGCTTCAGGGCCAACTAAAAAAAAAAAGTTGTAATCACAAATCTACTGAAAGGAATGAAGTGGAACATGTTTTTCACCAACATCAAAAAGAGCTATTACTCCTAAACCCTTCTGCAACATTTCAGTCAAGTGATACCTCGTGGTTTTCCTGTGGGAATCATGCAGAACTATATTCCCCCTCCCTCTGATCGTCAAGGCTAAATAAATTAGACAAATGTCGGTTGAACCCTATTAAACAAACCCTGCTACCAAGGTGTAAGGTTAAATGAGAATTTGATTTGTGTCACAATTTATTTTACAGTGGGAGCGAATCAAGTCAGATTATTGTCTTTACTTCAGGGAGAGTCATCAGTGCAAGAAATGCTGCCCCTACCCTTATGACCATGTACCATGACCAACATGTTTTCCAAACTGCCAGGACATTCTCAGCCCTCTGACTTACTCTGTGATGGCCTGGGAGTCATCTGGACTCAAAGAGTCATAGATGGAGACAAAGTCATCTGAGCAGTCATCCTCGATGTGGAAAAAAGGAAAAGAAACCGTTATGGCGTCAGCCTCTGAAGCTCGTATTTGCCACTGACACCGTGACTTGGGGGGATAGCCCTTAGGGTAGCCTGGTGAATGAAATGTCTGTGTCGTATCGGAAGCCTCCAGACGGAAGAAACACTCATCTGGGAATAAATAAGATTAGTTGAATCATACAGTGGGCATAAAAATGATGAGTAACTTTTATTTGCAATTATGCAACATTTAATTATGCAAAAACAATGACACATTTGAACAATAACAGTCAAACTATTCCATCCTTTAGGTTATAGATGTATCTGAAAAATAGATTAATGTAAGATGGTACAGCTACTAAGTTAACTTCAGTCTAATCATCCTAATAGTAATACATCAGCAGTGTCAAAGAAAAAAGTGTTTTGTGTGCCTGACGCAGGGATCTCCATCTCTGACTACAGCCGCACATGTACAGTGCAGGCCAGACATTCGTTAAAGACTGGCAGGGGGGGTGAGCATCTAGCCAGCTGGAAAATTACAACTTGGAGTGATTGAAATGGGACACGCTGTACTCACTGGCTCTGGGGTTCCTGGCCATGCGGGAATCTGTGACTGGAGATGGAGAGAGTGGCAGAAAAACAGGAGGAAAGGTAAGAATGGGTCGCTGATGTTGGGAGGGTTGAAACTATTTGATGCATGAGCCCTAAAATATTTGGGTTGCACATTTTCTGTTCAATTTCCCTGCGGTTGTGGGAACTGGTGATGGTGTGTAGCACTTTCTGCTCCATCTCACCTTGCCCCGCAGCAGCAACCCATACATCTCTGTCTAACTATCTGGGACAGCGACATCAAATCATACCCACAAAAATCATTTTAAAAGAGGACCAAAAAACCACTGAGTCACAGGGTCAGCGCTGTGGGCCAGGATGTGGACAAATGCAATGTGAATGCTGATAGGGCAGAAGGAAGAAAAATGGCAGTCTCAAGCCAGGCCAGAGCCCAGCTAATATCATTAGAGGATCCAAACAGCATTGAATGTGCAATCTCAGATGCAGCACAAGCAGAGGGGCCTGGCTTATCTGTTATCATCTTATCAGCACAACTCAAAGCAAGCTCCTTTAATACGAATAGAAACCATACAGAATACCAATGCTGATAGGAGATGACAGTGTTTTAAGATCTGTATTCACAGAGTTTTATCTTAGGCTGATGTCATAAAAGGCAGCCAGATGTAGCATACTCCAAGTTCACCCCATCTTTCTTCTCCTCCCCCCCCCCCCCCCCCCCTCCTCCTCCTCCCTGGCCCTGATGGTACCTACATGAGGCTGTGACTTCACTAATCTTGATATCCTCGGGGTTCCCAAGGCTGCGCTGCTCCTTCATGCCTTTCTCCAACACCTCCAGCACTCGCTCCTCTGAGAACTCCGGCTCGATCTCCAGGTCTTCGACAGGAATAATAAACTCGGACCAATAGTAGGCGATCACACCCTCACTGGTAGAAACAGAGATGAGAGAGAAATGGATGGAGGTTGGGAAGGAAGAGCATAAAGAGAGCTTTCAGTAACAAGCTTCAAAATTCAAGAATAAGCACAGATTAGTTGAACATGACAATTACTGATATTCCTAGTAGCCAAATCGAGCAGATTTACCATTACAGATTGAATAAAATGTCTAAATCAACTAGTGTCCAATGCTTAACACATAACTGTGTAAGATTACAAGTCAACAGACCTCATCTAACCTTGATTTTATTCAACAAAATACAACTTTTTGAACTCCCAGGGGGCAGTGCAACACAACATTTTCTTCATGCAAGATGTATTGTGAACATTTTTTTTTTTCATGAAGTTTTCACCATCTGCTCAGCAGTATAAAAAAGAGAACAATCTCAACATCTCATTACCTGAAAGCAGTGACCACAGACTTGCTGTAGTATTTTCCGAGGAGAGGATCTTTCTTGTAGTTTTGTAAAAGCTGTGTGGTTTTATTGAATAGAACATGTTAAGGACTGCTTGTCTGCCTGAAGACAGAAGTACAAATTAGCATGTTAACATAAAAACCGCCTCCCATGCAAAGCACACAACAATGGGATTCTCAATTAAGTGTTTTGCCTTCAGCTGCAAAGTGTATCAGACGAGGCTGCAGTCATTCTTTGTAGTTTTAAATGCAGGTTAGACACCAACATGTATTATACAACATCTAACGCCAAGAAAAGAGAAGGAAAGCATGAGCAGGTTTCATTTGTAATGTTAGAGATTTAGCAGCAAATGACATTGGGAATATAAATATCAATATACCAAAATGACTATTAGTTTAAATTAGCAACATCAAAAGTTAACCCATTAGCATTTTACTAAAAACAACTTTAGAGACACAGAGAGGATAAACTATATTTTCTCAAGGACTCTAGAGACAGAATACAACTAGTTGAACATGACATCTCTATCTCAAGGGTGTTTTTAAGCCAAGCATTGTTTACTTAAAGCCATACTTCCCAATCGTGTAAAGACTAACGTAGACCTGAAACTTTTCCTTAAAAAAGCTATCCTGTTTGTTGTTGTATGCGATTGCAAAAAAGCTAGTACATCAAAAAGCTTTTTCCCCTCAATCATCTAGTGATCTAATATTCCAGCTGCACTCTAATCCTTACCCTCACTTATGTACGTTTGTGTGCTCTTGATGTTTGTTTTTTTGTTGCTATCAACTTGCTCCTAAGTGGTGCTACAAACATCTCCACTGCCTCCAATAATAGGAGATGCTGTTGAGGGAATCACGAAGCGAATGTGCAGCGTTTTATCCCGCCCACACTACTGTGCCTTCAGCAGTAACTGTGCATTGGGAGGGGCGTTTTCACAGCTAATCCTCACTGAGAAAAGGGAACAGAATGTAACACTGTGCTAAAAATAGTTAACAATAAATAGGATAAATGAAAGAAAGGGGAAGAAACACAGGAAAGTCATGTGAAACTTTATGTGAAACTCACTAGTGCCTCCAGGTTGTCTGCCAATTTGTCGAACTCCTTGCTGTTGGTGTCCTCCAGCTTCTGGTCATACGGTACATCAACCAACTTCATATGCCCACTGTAGACCTGCTGTGAAGGCCCGAGCCGCATATTATAACTGCCTTCTGAATCAGCATCTTTAACTTGGGGGAGAGGCAGGTGTGAGTTCAGTGTTTGATCAACAAAATGCTATGAGATAGCTCCCTCTGTTAGAAGAGTAGAGCTTTAAAGAGACCCTGAAGCACCATTTCAAAAGTTGTACAGTGTGATCTGATATCCAGCAGACTGTTAGGCTCTCGGAGCAATTCAAGCAGCCAGTTGAATCAAGAGGCTGTTTATCAACACTTCAGAGGCCTTTTCATCAAACCCAGTATGAGTAAATGACAAGGAAGCTGTGCCTTAGTCTTTGTGATATTTGTCTCTTTTGCATTATTAAAAGCAGAAAGTCCGAGCTGTCAAATAGGCAAACACTAATGGGAAATTACAAAGTCCAAACAAGCCACTCTTACACTCTTCTATCAAAGAGCTGTGTCTTCACAGTAAGTGCACATGATCCACTCCGCAGTATCTGATGTTATGGCTGTCTTGGCAGTAACTGATTTAAATAATTTAAATATTCAGCTAATTTCTCATTTATTTCCGTTTAGAATAACTTTGATATTTGTCAAAAACTGTCCGCCACATGTCCAACATCTCCAGACATATTAAAGCACTGTGCTTCAAACTTCAAGACTACTCTACTGTGGATGATATATAAGAGGGAAGCATCTAACTGTACTCACAGAGAAACAGCCAAATGAGGAATGCTGCAACGGCGGCAAGGATGAGAAGAGCCACCACAACCCCGATCACCATGCCGATCTTCCGCTTTGACGACGGCTTTTCTTTGTTGGTAAGGAAGTCAATCTGCTCGTGACGGCCATTGCGGCCCTGATGAAGAAAAAGATACACGGTCAGCAAACATACAGCAAGTGTACCGTGATGTGGATGCAGATCATATTTACTTTAATTACGTGACGTGGGCTTTTCAATGGCAACTGCTGATAGTTGGAGAGCATATATAATAACAACAACAATGGTAATAATGACAATAACAGATGACACATCAAATCGCTGAACATTGAAAACATATATTTGACACTAATTGTCAACATTTGCTGTTTGATTGCTGTACATTTATTTTAAAATAAAGGTATTAACTCTACAAATGTCCATGGTTAATTGGAAAACTTGACAATAGAAAAGCAGAATGAAGTAAGTAAATCACCAGATCATCCACCTATTTATAACGTCTCGTTTAGATTATTGTATCTCCCTGACGTATTGGTGTCCAAAATGCGGCTTCACGCCTTCTTACCGGGCTGAGAGTATATGACCACATCACAGCTGTTCTGGCAGATCTTCACTGGCTTCCTGTCAGTTACAGGATCCAGTTTAAGCATTTACTCATTAAAGTTTTTAAATCGTTGCATGGACTGGCACCACACTACCTGTCTGAGTTGTTGCACCGGCGTGCTTCAGCTAGACTAGAGCAATGTGCTTAGCTGTGTGTGGTTCCTCTGTGCAGGAAAATAACCACAGGCGCTTACGCTGTGGCAGCCAGACTGTGGAGCAGCCTCCCAGTACAAATCCACACTGCTCAGTCTAATGAACTTTTTAAATATCAGCTAAAAATTCACTTCTTTGCACTGGGTTTTAATACTAGTTAAGCACAACATTTTGATATTTGTATGTGTTTTTATACGTTTCTAGTTATTGTGCGTTTTATCTTGTTTTTAATTATGGTTTTATTATTTTACTCCTATTGTGTTATTTTATATTTGTTCCCTGTACAGCACTTTGGTCAACTGAGGTTGTTATAAATGTGCTATATAAATAAATAAATAAAGATTGACAAGTAAATAGTTGTATTGATCAAAAACAATGTCATTTATCAGCATCTCTTCATTTCTGAGAGACAGTATACATTACATTTCTATACTTATATTAAATACAACATTTAAATATCAATGCGAGAGGAGTGGCTTTCCCTGGTTTTGGCTATGTGGAAAACGTTTAGAAATAATTAGCTTTGCGAGCACATCTAAAAGTGGCATCAATCGCCATTACCACTGCAACTAACCTCTGCTTTACAATAGATATGATTCCACAATGATTGGTTCACCAACAACAGGTTCTGCAGGAACCATCACATGTTCTCCTTTAATATAAATATTGAATGAATAATGCAGAAAGATGCTGCAAAAGATTATTTGGGTTGTATGCAAACTTCACATATATAAAAAAAAATATATATATTTGTTTTAAATTGGAGAACAATGCCATAATTTGTATTTGTCCGGATTATGAGAAAAAGCTATTTAATCTCCCTGTCTGTATCTCCCACACAATAAAGTGGACTTTGATGACTTTGACACCATTGTCTTAGAACAGGGATGGGCAACTTGGATGGTGGTGGAGGCCACATAATGTATGTACTGGCCACCAGGGGGCCGCAGATTCACTTGGAACACACACACACACACAAATTGCATGTATGTAATTATTAACAAATTAAGTCTGACATCTTCATTGACATTTTACAATCTTTCAGGGAACATCCTCTACTAAGCTCACTAAACAAATATCAGTTCACAGAAATGTTATTTAATTTGTACAAGTGGCATGTTTGTATTGAACAGGTTATTTAACAGTGGAATACAACTATTTTAAACTATTGGAAAGCACGGAAAATGTGTGTGTATTGAGATTAAACATTAAGATGACATAAACATGAAGTCATGAACACTAACCCAGACACTAGTTGTCTAACTTGAACCTAAGACACTTGTAGCCTGTCTCTGATGACGCACAATAAGGGAATTAGGGATGCACCGAATATTCGGCCACCGAAAATTATCGGCCTTAAATGGTTAAAAAGGCCCTTTCGGCTTTCGGCCGAAAGGGTTTTTGCACCGAAAAAATATCACCGAATGTCAGAACAGGCTTACGTTGGTAACCTAACGTGTTGTTGTGATGACGTAATAAAGACGCGGCGACCATGCTCGCGGCTGGCTCACAGGGGGGGGAACATTGACCTTTGTCATCGAGATTGCCCTGAGCCTTTAACAAATCGTATTAAATAATCTGATGACAGACTGTAAACAGAATAGCTGAAATTTTAACAAACTAAATAACTCAGTTTCCTCTAATCATTAACCCATGTTTGTATAATGTAGTTAACTCCGTGTGTTGCTGCTAGCATACATAACACATGACGTGGAAACGTTACTCGTGGATGGGGCTACAGGGCTGCTAGAAAGACGGTCGAACCCGGTACATTTCTCCGTCTGCATGCGGTGCACTTTTGCTAAATGTTTAGACAAATTGCTCGTGCTTACATGCTAAACTCTTATTGCACTTATGGTAACAAGTATTCTCCACATCGAGACGGGTAAAGTTTAACCACACCTCGGAGCGCGTTCTCTCCGCCATCTCCGCAGTGTGCTCCGCTGCATGTAGCAGCTGCGTGTGTGTAAACTGCCCCGCCCCCTCGCACACAGACGGGGGAGAGAGATCTCGTCTGATCGAAAATACATCATAGACGCATTTGTTGTCTTTGCATATTAGAAACGAGTTGGCGACACTAAGACTGCGATATAATGTTTTTTAGCAATAATACATGACATATATAAATGTACTGTATGCATTCAAAAGTGCTGAATAAATGTTTTATGGACCCATAATAGTGATTATTATTTAAGTGAAGTTTTGCCATAATCATGTCTATTTCCATAATCAGGTAGCTGAACAACATTGGTAAAAAATGTATACATTATATATATATATTTCTATTAATCATTTTCGGCCTTTCGGCACTCGGTTTTCGGCCAACTGTTTCCTATTTTCGGTATCGGTTTCGGCCAAGAATTTCCCATTCGGTGCACCCCTAAGGGGAATGTCAACACAGACACCCGTCAACCCGCACTCTGCTGTTCCTCAGCGCCGCTCCCCCTCCCTCCCGCTGAAATTGTGAATGAAAAGTGTATAGTAATCATAGATAACAGGGCAGGGTCTGTGACAGTTTGTTTTCATCTGATTTCAAATAAACAAAGTCTTGGTTTTTAGAATATTAAACTTGTTTCGCCAAATTCAGATGATAAATACAACTTTTAAGCTTGTAAAGGCATAATTAAAAGTGGTAACTTAACGTCACAGCAGGCATAACAACCCCCGGGCCACCATTTGCCCATCCCTGTCTTAGAAGGTGTTTTCCGTAAGTAAACTTATAGAAATAACACTGTCAGCACATTAATCACATACATTTTTTTTAATTCATCACTGTCCCCATTATGAAAATATGACAAATGTGTAGACCTATTATTATTTTTATTTGTAAAACAAACAAGAACAGTTTCCTTTCTCAATATCTTAACTTCAGATATATATAAACAAAAATGGGATGTGTCCTTTAACTTCTTTCCTAGAGAGACAAGTTCAAACAGGTATAGTCATATGGTGGCATACAAGACTGATCAGACCTGTTCAGGTAGTGGGACGAAGCTACCACACTCACACCTTCAGGTACACATGTTTGTGGGAAGAAATTACATGATTAACTGAGAAGGACCACGTAGAGATTATGGGTCTGTCTGTCTGTCTGTCTGTCTGTCTGTCTGTCTGTCTGTGTATGTTGTTGAGCTCTCTCAAGTGGGTGGACTGAGAGAGAGGTTTCTGGACAGTTAGTAATCAACACACAATGAATTCAGTGCCTGTAGTAGCCCATGAGTGAAGAAGCCCAAGTGCTATTAGGGGTGGAGAATCACTTTGGTATTAAATCAATTTGTCAGATGTGCTGCCCCTGAAGATGGGGGCTCAATTACATGAGTCTAGATGATAACTCATGGCAATTAAGGCCTATTCTTACGCGGCTAGGGCTTCCACACATGCTTTCTAATTGGAATCTCTAACAGCAATCATGGGCCAGAATGAGGAGGATCATTAGAGATGGGGCCAGCGAGTGCTCCAGGGTCTATCTCCCTCTATCTACCCTGATCACAGCCTAATAAAACCATTATATTATATACTCTCCATCATTTCCCATTCTTCACTCCTAGAAAGAGTTAGTATAACATTTTATAGCTATGTATGTGTAATCGTTTTTTTAAATACCAGCTCAGCCGTGCCATGCCAATTATTAAACAGGAAGTAGTGCTGTCCGTCTCTCAACACAACCAATCATGTGGATGCAGACTAAAACGAAATGTTAATGTTTAACAAGAAAAGCAATCAAAGTTGTTGTGAAATATCCTGCAGTCAGTTTTTCCAAGTAGTCTAACCGGTTTGACAAGTGGGAAACAATTTAGAACTGCTGAAGGGTGTGGTGAAAAATGACGAAGACCTCAAGCACAGTTGCAGCTATGTCATTACAACACTGGTCTACAACCTTATTAACAACGATTTGTCTGAACAATCCAGAATTCTTGTCGGGGTATAAACTAGAGATGTATTGTACTTGGCTACTTAGATGCTATGGAAACTTTCTCAAAATACACTGACTCGGTATCTTGTTATTTTGAGAAACTAAGTCATTATTTTGGGTGAAAAACATTTTCTTCACAGCTGTGCAATGTTTGACATAATGAAGGGTTGTGTCGGGTGTATAGTGTAAGTGTAATAATCCTTAAAGGGACAATATGTAGGATTTGGTGGCATCTAGTGGGGTGATTGCAAATTGGAACAAACTGAAGTGTTTCTGAGAGCTATGGTGGCCTTCAGGTAATGATATAACCCAAAATAACTTTTTCTTGTGCCGCTGTATGGTTTGTCCTAAAGTATAAAAATGACCTTGCAACATGGCGTACCTTGTAAAAAGGGACCCACTATATTATAGATATTAAAGTCTCATTCTCAGCTAATATAAATACAATGATTCTTGGTCTCAGCAGAAG